GGCGTTGTCTGTGTGGGCCATTTTGCCCATGGTTCAATCCCAGACCTGTAGCCCCTCTTTGCTGTGTAAACACTCATGTGCTTTCTCACAGACTGGGTCAGGAGGGATGGCTTGTTTCCAGTGGTGCTGGACGGAGCCTTTGCACTTGAGGCTTGGTTGTAAACGTGGCTCCATATGTGTAGAAACACTTTCTGTTAATATTAGAGGCCCGTGACGTTACAGGGGTTCAGAAGCCACTCAGTGAATTCAAGCTCAAATCCTCACCTCTGATGACCTGTTCTTTTAAAACATGAACTTGTCAGTTAGAGTCAGGTCCCTGTCAAATATAAAAATGAGTAACCATTCTTGACTAGTTTCTGGAAAAGAGCATTTACCCTGTGGCGGGAGGAGGGCCTGGAAGGCTCCTCCCTTGAGCCTAACCAGGACACATGGGCCGGCTGCTGGAGGGTGGGGTGAGGGTGTCCCTGACAGTGATGATGTGATGAGGGTAGTGTCTGGGGCGTCCGACCCCTTAGAGATGGACGAGGAGCAGAGATGTGCCACGTGGTGACTGAAGGTTCTTGGTATCAAAGGGAGGAGTCAGCCTTTGCCCCATAGGGGACGGTGGGGAGATGGGAGGCTGGCAGCAAGTGAGTAGCCTGTGCACCCTCCCATAGGAAGGCGGCATTGGCAGTGGTGTGGAGGCAAATGGCCCCTGTGCTGTGCCCTGGAGGGACCCTGGATTCTGTGGGTGCCTAAGTGACCTGGCAAGGACCCACACAGGGGAAGATGGGGTGTTCGGCGGGTGGGGGGCCATGGCTGGTCTCAGCATTGCACTGACCCCCTCTTCTCACTGCGTCTCCTCCAGACCACCATGCCCGGGATGAAGCGCGACTGCGGTGGGGCTGCAGCCATCCTGGGAGCCTTCCGAGCCGCCATCAAACAGGTAAGGGACCCTGACAGAGGAGGGGCCAGGCTCAAGAGAGGGGGAACAGCCAGAGACCCCACATGGGGGCACCCACTCCTGCAATCACAAGCCCTGACCTGTGCCAGTCAGGCTCCACGGGTCCAGTTCTAATCCAAGGTGGAAAGGGCCTGCCCCAACTGGCCTGCTCACTCAGATAAGGCCCGGGAGGGGTTGGCTGAGGTGTGAGCCAGGAGGGACCATGCCCCCATGCCCGGTATACTGGAGACCACTGGGACCTGCTCATCAAGCAACAAGCCCCACCCCCCTGGAACTGCCAAGACCCAGGGAGCCCCTCTGAGAGAGCTGCCCAGGATCCCTGGGTCCCCACCTGGCAAGAAGGTCCCCATGCCTGGTGCCTAGCAAGGGCTTATTTAGGAGGAGAGAGACCGTGAGAGGTCAGGAGGCCTGACCACTGGGTCCAGACTTGAACCACTGGTTAAGTGACTACAGTAGGTGGTGACTTTGGGGAGCCCTTGGTTAAGGGACCCGGTGGCAGTGACTCTGGGGAGCCCCTGGTGAAGGGACCCAGTGTGGTGACTCTTTCTCATTGTGTTGCTCTGGGAGGAGCAGCAGCACCCCGTGGCGGTAAGGGGGTGGTCGTGATGGCACAGGCTTGCAACGTTCGTTGGGGTCGAGGCTCTGGCCCCCGGGAGCAGAGGTGATGCACACTCAGCTGGAGCCAGGGACATCGAGTCCCTGGGAGGGGCCTCACTCTGGGGTCGGCACCTGTCTGAGGTGGAAGGCTCTGGACAGCCCCTCCCTACCCACTGGCCCTGGTGCCCGGGAGGCCCGGTGGCAGCTGGGATGGTGAGCATGGCTATTCCACGGGCCTTTCTCAGATGTGGAAAGCCTTCCTGGCAGCTTGAGAGGGTTGGCTCCATCTCACTAAACACAAGACACCTTTAACAGAGGTGCCTCCTGGGGGCTGGGCTCCTTAGGGTGAATGTAACACGAGAGACAAGAGCAGAGGTCTCGGCAAACGGGCCAGACGGGTCAGAGTGTGGCCTTCGGAAGAGAGGTCGACTGTCTCTCACCCTCAGAGGAGTGGGGGCTCAGGCTCTGGGATGGCCAGGACTTCGTGGGGTACAGTGAGTGCTCAGACTGCTCCGGGGCTCCTCGTGAGGTGAAGTGGCTGCAGCAGAGTCCCTGCAGAGCCCAGGTGGCCGTCCTCTGCAGAGCCCGGGGTGGGCGGTGGGAAGGAGCCATGTCGGCAAGCTCTCGTCCCTTTGCTGACAGGAGACTAACGAGGGTTCATGGCCAGCATCTGATGAAGCGCTCCACCCCGAGCCTGCCAGCCACCTGCCCTCCTGCCCCCGGCCCAGTGGTCCTGGGAGATGAGCTTCTCAGAGGATACGGACACTTCCCCCGCTGCGGGGCATCCACACTCTGCCGGCACAGCTGACGCTCACCCGTGGCGCTGGGGGAGGTGGCGTTGGAGGAGCACCCGGCCAGCACAGGAGGCTCCTTGGCCGCTCGTGCGAGGACTGTCCCGGCACCTGCCTGGCCGGCTGAGGAAGACCCAGCAGGTCGACACTCTGACTCAAGTCCCTGCTCACGGGAGCCACTTGGCAGTTAACACTGACTCATCAGCTGGCAGTGGATGCAGATGGCAGGGTGCTACAGCCATGCCATCTGGAGGTGCTGGGGACCCCCACCCCCCCACAGCTCAAGAAGAAGGCCCGCCCCATGCCAGAGTCCCAGCCTGGACACCCACTGAGTCCCCGAGCCAGCTTCGTCCTTAAAAAGGACCAGCACAAAATAAATATTGGTCATAACGGATTATGACCCACAGAATAAAATAAGAACCCCCATGTCCACACGGTGGACCGAGCAGGTAAATCAATGGGGGAAGAAAACCATTTCTCACAGTGGAGTTCCAGTTCATCACCATGGAAAGAATGGAGGAAGTGGACAGTCATCACGTAAACGGTGTGGTCATAATTGTTGAAGGTGAGAGAGATCAACGGATGCTACAACCCGACGGCCACGGTGTGGTGAGAACACGGTGTTAGGGTATTAGGAACAGGGTGTCCATGCCAGTTACAGTGCAGAAACATGGCGGGCATCTCCTGAACCAAGTGTCTGTGCCAACCTGGCTGGCTGTCATGAATTGAATTCTGTCTCCAAAAAGTTGTGTGAAAGTCCTCACCCTGTACCTGTGAATGGGAACGGGGGATTGCCTTTGTTAATGAGGCCATACAGAGCAGGGTGGGTCCTAACCCTAACTGCTTCTGAGTGGTGTCTTGGGAAGAGAGCAGAATTGACAGAGACACATGGGGGGAGACAGATGCCATGTGATAACCCGTCTATAGGCCAAGGAGCACCAAGAGCTACAGAAGCCGGAAGAGAGAGAGCATGGCCCCGTGGAGCCTTGAACTCCAGCTCTCAGCCTCCAGCAGAGGCTCTGGGAGAATACAGTCCTGTTGTGAAAGCCATCCACCATGGTGTTTTATGACGGCAGCCCCAGAAGACAAAACGCCAGGCACAGGACACCAGTGGGAGGTGCCTCCCGACAGGCTGCACTGGAGAGGACACACCTCTACCTGGGTCTGAAAGTGGGGGAGCGTCAGACAGACCCAGCACCCAAGTGCCAAGGCCACGCACGGGTCCAGATCATAGGAGGCTACAGGGACCTCACCTGCTACCATGCATGACCAAGCTTGGATCCCAGCCTCTGAAAGGACATTGGAGGGATAGTGGTGGCATTTAAGCAACACTGTAGCTCACAGACTGTGGCACCAATGGAAATGCCTGAATCTCGACCCTTGCACTGCAGTCGTGTGCAAGATATTAGCTCGCGCGCAATCTAGGTGAAAGGTATTCGGGCATCATTTGTATGGCTTTTTGTAACCTGAAATCTTTTAAAGTTTTCTTTTATTTTTAAAACATTTTTAAAAGCTTTTTATTGTGATTTGAGTGGAAATTTACAGAACAAATTGGCTTTCTGTTCAATAATTCATACGCATTTTGTTTCATGACATTGACTGCAAATCCCCACAGTGTAGCAGCTCTCTTGCCACCTCCTCCCTGTGTTTACTGTCTCAGGCCTGTAAAGTGAACACCACCCCAGGGAGGTGCCTCCACACAGATCCAAAGGGCAGCGGTTGCCCAGGGATAGAGCTCAGGAGGCGGGGAGAGACGAGAAAGAAGGACGAGTGGAAAGAGATGACATTATTTCTAAGTGAAATATTTTAAAAATTTCAAAGGCAGAGACGTGCCAGTCCAATACTAAGGGTGGCGCAGTGCACCAGGGTCAGGGGGTGTTGGAAGCAGAAGGGGCCTATCCAGGTTCTCTGAGAAAGAGAGGAGGCAACCACCCCATTTATCCCTAAGCTCCAGCGACCGGGGGCCCACGCCTGATCCTCAGCGTGGCCTCAAGACCCTCCCCAGCTGTCCCTGAAGCACCTGCCCAGCACTCTATCTGGCCACCCGCTTCTTCTGTTGGACTGATGGGTCTCAAACCTACATGGCTGGCTTTGAGCGACTGAAGTTCTAATGCCTGAGGGGCCCCTCTGTACCCCAGTATCTGGCTGAGACTGTGTGCCGAGTGTCCCCAGCTGTTCTCCAAGGGGGTCCACACACAACCGCATCAGCGTCTCCCGGGAGCATGTCTGGGATGCGGATTCTGGCCCAGCCCCAGACCTGCCAAATCATGAACTGGGGCGTGGGTGGGGGCGGGCAGCGACCCCGCGGGCTTCCCAGCTCCGGTGCCTGCCCCGGCCTCTCCTGGCCTCGTCATCTGTGTGTTAGCTTTGGCGGCAGCTCTGCTCCTACAGTGGAAGAGTCCCCGGGGTGAAGAGCCACGTGGGAGGGCGGGACTGAGGGAGGTGTGTAAGCCGCCGAGGGTGGGCGCCGTCCCATTGGACCATGCCTGCCCCCAGGGGAAAGCCCCTCTGAGCTTCTTGGGGACACCTCTACATGAATGTCCGTATCTGGGTGCACACAACTTGCGTCAGGTGTCCGAAAACGAACGGCAGCTTACATTTCTGAGGCCAGCTTGGCGATCCCTAAAATGCCGCCTTCTGGTCCCCCGACGACATATACACACATGCACACGCACACGCACGCACACACGTGTGCGCCTTTCTTCAGTGTGGAGATAGACTGCTTCTAGCCAGGGAGGGACACTGGCCACTTCCCAGGCCCCAGCCCTGCAGCTCTGTCTGTCTGTCTGCTGCTGGGCCACAGAGCTCCCGGCTCCCTGCCGCCCTTGCCCCCCTTGCCCCCATGTAACTGGGGCTCTTGCCCTCTTTCTCCTGCAGGGTTTCAAAGATAACCTCCATGCTGTGTTCTGCTTAGCGGAGAATGCAGTGGGACCCCGTGCCACAAGGCCGGACGACATCCACCTGCTGTACTCAGGAAAGTAAGCTGGGGCCCATCCCTAGGGCCTGTTGCCACCCAACTGCACCCCCCAGCCACAGGGTGTGCCACCCTCCCAGGCCCTCAGGAAGAGCTTCTAGCCTAGTGGCAGGTCCTGTTGGGAGGACACCCTGCACCAGGACACCTGAGCAGCCATGAGGCCCGAGGCCCAGGAGGGGCATGGCAGCTTTGGAGACAGGGGCCCGCACGTTCCCTGGGCTAGGGGCCCGGCCCCGCCACCCTTTGGCTTGCCATGTTTGGGTGTTTGAAGCCTGCCCCCTGGAGACCCTGCTCGAGCCCCTAGCCCTTGGGATGCAGTTCTGGGGAGTGGTAGCGGGAGCCCGTGGTGGTGCCCTGTGTTTAGGATGGGAGCAGGTGGTCATCCATGTTATCCAGAGGTGCACCTTCTCTGGGTGCCATCGTAGCCCACCCCACAGCTCCCAGCTCTGAGATAAGGAAACTGAGGTTGGGGAGCTGAACAGCTCACCCTGGCTTCCAGGGCACAGGTGTGACCAGGCCTCTGCTCTGGCCACATGCTACACTGATGGGGGGGGGGGCACAGTGGGCCAGGCTGTAGGCGCCACATCCAAAGGGCCTCATCCCAGCACCCAGGACACCCACTGGCAGGGTCTCTGCACCCCAGGACCGTGGAGATCAACAATACGGACGCGGAGGGCCGTCTGGTGCTAGCTGATGGCGTAGCCTATGCCTGCAAGGACCTGGGTGCCGACATCATCCTGGACATGGCCACGCTGACTGGGGCACAGGTGGGCATCTGCCCCATCCCGCCTTGGGTGTGGGGGGCTGTCACTGAACCTACGTGACCAGATGGAGAGGGGACCCGCCACCTGGTGCTCAGTGGGCACAGTGGCTTCTCCGTCCACCCCCACCGACTGTTCCATCCCCCGCCAGGGCATCGCCACGGGCAAGTACCACGCTGCAGTGCTCACCAACAGTGCGGAATGGGAGGTGGCCTGTGTGACAGCTGGCAGGAAGTGCGGGGACCTGGTTCACCCACTCGTCTACTGCCCTGAGCTGCACTTCAGCGAGTTCACCTCAGCTGTGGCTGACATGAAGAACTCGGTGGCGGTGGGTGTACAGCTGTGTGGGGTGGAGGAGGGCAGGGGACAGACTGTACCCTTGAGGAGACACTTACACAGAACCATGGCGGGAGCACAGGATGGGCACAGGGCCATAGCGCAGACATGGGGTGGGCATGGGGCCACGGAGTGGGCATGGGGTAGGCACAGGGCCACGGAGTGAACTAGGGGTGAGCACAGGGCTACGGAGTGGGCATGGGGCCATGGAGTAGACATGGGGTGGGCGTAGGGCCATGGAGCAGACAAGGGGTGGACACTGGGCCACAGAGTGGGTGCAGGTTGGGCACGGGGCCATGGGACAGGCACAGAATAGAGGTGGGGCAGTGAGGAGATGTGCCTCTAGGATAGCGCTCAGAGGGACACCAGGGGGCATGGAGCAGGAACAGGACCACAGGCACACATGGGGCTATGGGCCAGGCACAGAGTGCAGGTCTTGGGAGGTGTGCTCAGCGGGGTGGACTGGCTGTGCCCCACCAGCACGTAGTGTCACCCCGGGACCTCTTCTTAGCTGTGGGGCCTGACTTGGGTCCCCGTTAGACCCTTTGCTTAAGTCGTAGCTAAGGGATGGGGGCAGGGCACCCAGACAGCTTGGTCACCATCCTCCCGCCCACCCAGGACCGGGACAACAGCCCCAGCTCCTGCGCCGGCCTCTTCATAGCCTCCCACATTGGCTTCGACTGGCCTGGGGTCTGGGTCCATCTGGACATCGCTGCGCCTGTGCACGCTGTGAGTGGCCGCAGCCCCTCCAGGCTGCCTGTGGCCTCAGCAACCTCCTGCACTGCGGGTGTGCTCCCTTCTTAGTCAGGACACTTCCTTGGCCATCTGGCTGGCCGGCCACTCTTCCTCTCTACCCTCACCCCCGCCCAGCAGCAGCCTAGGCTTGTCCCACCCTCTCGTCCGTCCATCCATCATCTGGAGCCCCTTTCTGGCTCTGAAGCTGTAGGATGAGGTCATCGGAAACTTTGTATGTGGCAGGTCACATTGCCTGTGGCCCAGCCTTTGGTCAGCTGTGCTTCCCCCACCCCGTCCCCAGCTTCTGGTTTCATAGTCCCTGGGAACAGAGTGTGGCCTTCCCCGGCAGAAGGCCTGGGGCCGGGGAGACCTGGGTTGGGGCCAAGGGTGGGACCATGCCCCCTGCCTGGTGCCTGCCCATGGCTCTGATGTGGATGAGCTGAGAGGGTTCCTGGGGTGCGAGGCAGAGAGGCCTGAGCATCCCCTGACTTCTGTCCACAGGGAGAGCGGGCCACCGGCTTTGGCGTGGCCCTGTTGCTGGCGCTCTTTGGCCGGGCCTCTGAGGACCCCCTGCTGAACCTGGTGTCCCCACTGGGCTGTGAGGCCAACACACAGGTTGAGGACATGGAGCAGGATTCCAAGCGACGCAGACTGGTGTGACGGCTGGCCCCTGACCCCCGGCCCCTGGCCTAGGCTCTTTACCTCACTTTGCACTGAATAAGTTTAAGCAATTAAAAAGATGATACCTTGATACGGGTCTGGGTGTGGTGTTTGTTGTTATAGATGATACTTTGATGGGTCCAGTGTGGTTTTTGTTTTTAATGGCCGTGAGGATGGAGATGGCCTGCTCTTAGGGCTTAGAAGACAGCTTTGGGTTTGGTGGGATCTGGGGGTGGCGTTGGGGCTGGCTGCCCTTGGAGTCACCACTGTGTTCCCTGCCAGGGTCAGCACTGCCCAGGAGGCCCAGCTACCCTTGTCCTCTGGATGCAGTGACCTCATGGCCAACGTGGCCATTCGCCTGCTGACCACTCAGTGGCCCCGGCCCCACTCAGCCCCTGGAAGGGAGGTGATGGAGCTCTAAGGGTCCAGTCTGAGGAGTGTGACGGGTCTGCTCCGGCCTGGAGAACTCGCTCAGGGTTGAGTTAAGCACAGCCGGAGCCCAGCCCAACCTCCCCACTTTCCATTCCATCTCCTGACCTCGTTTAGGAATCAACCTCTGGGATGCCCCCCGGGTCAGGCTCGGGCTGCTGCCTTGTCTCCAAACCAGGCGCTGAAGCTAGGAGGGGCCTCTGAGACTAGCTCGATGGCCTGGCTGTGCACAGGTGAGGGTCCCGGGCCAGGTGAGGGCCCAAGCTCAGCCGAGTGTGAGCAGGTGAGGTCCCTGGTGTGGGCGTTCTGAAACCAGTTCTCTGGGTCCAGGCCAGTTAGAGGCTGGGCACTTTCAGGCTCACATGGCCCTTGCATCACCCTGTGGGGTCGGGGGGTAAATTGGTCTCCCTGGCAGAGTCCGAGATTTCCTTAGTGCTGCCACACATGACTCTGACACGGTCATGGTGACGCTGTGCAGATGGGGATGGGGACTGGAGACCAATTCCCATTACCCAGGAGCCCAGCCAGGATCCAGCACAAACCGTCCCCCAGGCCTGGGTGAAATGGTGAAGCTGACCCACCTTGTCTCAGACAGTGCAGGTGTGACCTTGTCGCGGCACCTCCTGGTCTTGTCCTCTGTCCCAGGAAGGCTTGGGTACTTGGGAGGCTCGGCCCAGCCTCCTGCTGGGATCTGGGCAGGAACACATCTGGGGCTGTACACAGGGCCCCAAGACCATGTCACCCCAGCCCAGCTGTTGCTGGAAATCCAGAGGACTCTTCCTGAGTGGGGAGCTCTGATGGCGTAGTGCCTAAGGCACTTGACTGCTAACCAGAAGGCAGGCGGTTCAAACCCACCAGCCACTCCTCGGAAGGAAGGTTGGGCAATCTACTTACATAGTGATACTGTCTCGGAAACCCAAGGAGGGGTCACTATGAGTCGGGTCTATCTTGATGGCAGTGAGTTTGTTGTGTTTTTTTTTTTGGTGAGCTCAGCCTAGGAAGGCAAGAACCAGCCCTGCGACCCCTGCACTGGGGCCCTCCCTGCCTGGGAAACTCCGCCCAGCACCGTGGTAACTGGTAGCGGTCACCAGGCAGTGGATGGCAGCAGCCCCACCACCCACGGCAGTGCTGCCTGAGGACCAGGAGCCTGCGCGGGTCATTAGGCAGCTTAATGGCTCTTCCCACCCCACCCCCCTGGAGATCCCTGGCAAGCCAAGGTCAGCAATGTGGTCTGCTTCCTGAGGCAGCTGGCACTGTCCCCTCCCACTGCGGGGCCATGCATCGTGGGTGCAGGCTGCCGGATCAAGGAGCAGGGGAGGAACTGAGTGTCCCTTGTGTGGGCACAAAGGTGGCCTCAGGGCAGGGACCAGGGGGGAACAGCTGCAGCTCCCACCTGGCCTGTGAGTAAGAGTGTGGTGGCTACAGGGTGAGCCAAACACCCAGCACCCACAAGAACCAAAGGGCTTTAGGCTGCTTCCCACAGGGGTGCTGGGCATTTGGGTTTGCCTTCAGGGTGTGCCCTACCTTCTGCTCTTGGCTTCCTCCACCCAGGCCTCACTTGGCCCAGAAACTTCCAAACAGGACAGAAGCACAGTGCTGCTGCTTGCCCCTGTGAAACCTGCCGGGCAGAGGATGGGTCAGGATGTCCCCTTTCAGGGACAGCGGGGCTGAGAGGCATGGTGGGGGAGGCCCAGGCCAGTCCTGCTGTGGACACTGGGCAGGTGGCTAAGCCCTGTGAGCCTCGGGCTCCTCACCCTTGGTATCCCCCACCTGGAGGGCAGCTGTGGAAGTTCTAGAAACACAGCATGCTGTGCACTTAGCACCAGACCCGGCAGGTGCCCTGCTTGTGGCCTGAGGGCTGCAGGGGATGGTGGCACCAAGGGCCAACAGACCCCAGCTGGAGCCTTGGCTTCACTGCCAACTGATCCTGCAACTGGGTGTGTCACTGACCCTCACAGCCTCAGTTTCCTCATTTGAAAGAGGTCAGGGAAGGCATCAGCCAGCATGGCCTGGGATGCAGCAGGTACCCGGAAAATGAGTGTCCTGCAAAGAGGGTGGGGTTAGTGTTTTGAGACAAGTGGTTTGCTGGGCCGCCTTTCGGGGAGGGCCTGGGAGGCCTCGGACTCGGGTGGGAGGACCCGGTGAGCCACGGAAGCTGCTGTCACCACCACCAGCTCTGCACCGCTTCCCCGAAGACCAGGGCACGTGGCGCAGTGAGAGCGCTCTAATATGGTAGGACAGACAGACGCTGATCCTTCTCAGCTGCCCTGCAAACATGGTTCTGGAAGGTTCTAGGTGTGCTGCAGGCCCGTCACGCCTCCCTCACCTGCAAAGCGTCTTGGTTTTTTTTTTTTTTTAAGTTTTTCAGAGACTGAGTAAACATGCCCTGCAGGTTACGAGCCCCGGGGAGGCACAGCCTGGTGAGTACATTTCTGCTAGCCCCAAAGGAAGACATGTTTCCTCATGAGGTGAGGTTGGGAGACATTGCAGTCTCGTCACCTGGGGCTCTGGGTTCGTAATGAGCCACAAATAAATAGCCCCCGGATGCAGTTACAGGTGTGTGTGGGGGGAGCAATGCTGGGGAAGCGGAGCCAGAAAGGGGGCTCAGGAGCGTCTGCAGGTGCACGGGGCCTCTGAACACCCAGCAGCTGGTGCACGCCCTGCTGCGTCCACTTGCTCGTTCATTCAACAAACACTTGAGTAGAGACAGCCCTGGACCTCAAAGTCTAGTCGGGGAGACAGATAACTCATCAAATTAGCACACAAAGAAAGGCACTGTGGCTCACAGAGTCACCAGGAGCTACAGGCACCCAGCACTATGAGGATATTTTGAAGGGAGGCCTTCCCCAGCCTGGGGAGGGGTCAGTGGGAAAACCTGCCCTTGAGGAAGCCATGCCTGAGCCGGGAACCCAAGGACAAGTGAGTGTTAAACAGTGCAGAGGAGGGGCACATGATGATGGAAGATGGTGGCATTGGGGGACTGGGTGAGGGCGACAGGGAAACTCCCTGAATCATCTCTGTAAGTTTTAATGTAAAATGACTCCCAAATAGAAATCTTATTTAAAAGTTATCCTTGAAATTTAGAACTGAGAAACAGTGTCTGGAATAAAAACTTCACTGGATAGGCTCAACAGCAGAATGGTTGCGACAGAGTCAAAAGCTGAAAAAGATAGTTCACAGTGATCCAATGTGAAGAAAGAAAAAGGACTTCAAGAAATGAGAGGCTCAGGGACTTGTGGGACAATCTCAAAAGGTCTAACGCTCTTATCACTGAATTTCCTCCAGGAGCCAAGAAAGAGATGGATGCAGAAAACCAAATACACTGGAAGGAATAATGGTTGGATCTTCTGGACTTGTCAAAAAATATATATTTACAGGTTCGAGAAGCCCAGAGACAGCCCAACAGGATAAACTCAGAGAAAACAACACCTAGACACATCATAGTCAAACTACTGAAACCTGAAGGTAAAGACATGGCTTTTACACTTTTAAAGGATTGTGAAGAAGAGGAGGAAGAGAAGTGAATGGGGAGGAGGAAGAGGAAGAGGAGGAGGATAGAGAGAGAGGAGGAAGGGAGAAAAGAGAGGGAGGCGGAGACCGTACGTGACCACAAAGGTCAAAAGGTGTTTTTTCTAATTCTTTACAGAAAACGTTTGCTGACCTCTGATATGTTGTTGTTATTATGTTATGTTATGACCTCTGATCTAGATGGATTAAATGTAACTGCATAGGAGAAGGTAGACCAGGTGAACACTAATCAAGTGCAAGCACAAGTGGCTATATTAATATCTAACAGAGGAGACACTGGGTGAAAAAGATTACCAGGAAACAGGGTCTTTGCACACAAGTAAAAGAGTTAATTCATGTTCTGGTTCCCTGGTGCCGCTCTGATAAAAATATACCACAAATGGGATGGCCTTAACAAACAGGAGTTTATTCTTACAATTTGGAGGCTTTATATCCAAGTTCAAAGTGCCAGGCTCTAGGGGCTGGGTGAAAGCTCCTCAACCTTGGGATCCAGCTCTGCCTCCTGCTCCCGGCCCACTGGAGCTAGAGGCTTTCTTCACTCAGACAGCGGCTGGCTGCTGAGGCTGCCAAGCCCCAAGGTTGACAAGTAAAAAGGCACAGTCCCAATATTACCAAACCATATGGCTGGCCATTAACTTAAGTCCATTGTATGTCCCAAGGTCGGCAGATCATACCAGGCTGCTGAGCAATGGCACGGCTACATGCAGGGTCCAAGTGTGCCATAGGCTAGAGACCATTCCCAAGGCTTCTCCTTATATACAGGAAGCAGGCCACATCCCAAAGGCAGCTACTCAGCTGCTTGTGGTAGACCCCACCATGGAGTTGATTGCCATTCTCATCATGGGAAATAACTACCACCAGCTGCCCAGCCACTCAACCAGGCCCCGCAAAGTTGACACAAAAACATAACCTCCACAACTTACCAGGAACAACCCATCCTAAAGTGTGTAGCCCTACTGACAACCCCCAAATACACAACACAAAAGCTGACGGAACCGAAAGAAGGAATAGATAAACCCACAATTGTATTTGGAGACTTCACATTTCTTTCTCAGTAATCAATAGAATAGGTAGACAGCAAAATCAGCATGCGTATCCTAGACCTACCAATGCTAAGGAC